GATGTTTTTAATGTGCACTATTTATGATATATCTGCCCAAATTATATTACATATATGGGTGAACCAACCAGCCCAAATTTTCTTAAATTGACTAGTTATGATTCTCATGATTCATTAAAAATGGTAAGTGCATCTAAAATTTGAAATCAATTCTATTGGATGAGATGATGAAGGTAAAACAACAAGTGAAAACCCGATTCTTCACATCCACCATTCGGCAACATTCCTCGTCTATTCTCCTTTTGCCTCTTCGATCGACCTCTTGCAACCAATAGTCCGTCTTCTACTGTTGCTGTTGCTGTATATTATTCTTCTTCCTCACTCCTAGCTATATAGAGCATAACCGACCACAATACGGGTAATTATATTGCCATTTCCATGGACTAGGCTAGTTTGCTAGTGCTTAAACTCGCTGGAAAGAGGTGATAACAACGTTAGAGTCAAATTTTCATCGTTGAATGTGATGTTCAATTTCAACAAATTCGCAAGCATGTGTTTGTTCGAATATAGCGACATGGTTTTCCATGAATGCGCCATGATGGTACTCAAATCAGAACAATTGCTTCGTCATCATAGCAACCATTTACTATAGAATAATAAATACAAATGGGAAAGAACACACCAAATGGATGATGGGGTTCGGCGTATATTGCCTATTTTGAGAAATTTGTAGGTGTCATATATATATTGTTTTTTGAATTAATGAAGATATATGATGTATATATATGTGCAGGGGGGTGGGTGGTGCAATGACATAAAATCTTGCAGCGAGAGAGCTCCAACTCGGCGTGGGTCCACCCGTTTTATGACTCCGGTTGAGGTCTTTTCTGGGATTCTAAGCAATAATGCCTCATTAAACCCTGGTATAGAACTCATTAATCCCTTTGATGTGATTAAGTAAAAACTAGGTGATCATCAATAAGACTATATGTGGTGTGGTACTGATTTTTCGTAAACTTTGGCGAATATCGAAAGTTTTAATATATTACAGATCGAGTTTAATCTTATTATTCACCGAACAATTAACAGATTTTTACAATTGGAATCGCGTGAAGCTGAGATACTGCGATGGCGCCTCCTTTGCTGGTGATGCGGTGTACAGAAATGGAGTAAGTCTACACTACTACACAACAAATTCATCATGTTACTAATGGAGTATCAATATCGAACATGGTTTTGTGCAATGATGCAACAACTAATTAATTGCCCGTTTATTTTCTTTCATCATGTCGTTATATATGCGCTCTGTGATTAATGTTGAGTTTGATTTTGAATATACGAACCGCAGAAGTCGTTGATTTATTTTAGAGGGCAAAGAATTTGGCAAGCAATTATTCTTGACCTTCTTCCCAAAGGCTTGGGCCATGCAAACAAGGTACAACCAAATGCACGTACGCCTTTTCAATTCTCATTTTCGCTCGGAATCCATCTATATATATATATATATATTTATTTGTTAGTTTTTGTTATTAGGCTTTGCTTTCAGGTTGCTCGGCGGGCGGTTTGTCTACCTTTCTTCACTGTGATGATTTCACCACTTATTTGCCCAAAAATGCCACCGTTAAATGTTTGAGCGACGCTGGATTCTTTCTTGATTCGTAAGTATCAATCTCAATAAATAAAAATAGATGAGACATATAAGAACCAAAAGAAAAAGAATGAAAAAAATGTTGAACGAGATCCAACTTTTTTTCAAATCTACAAGTGCTCGGTGACCTTATTTTGTGGCTTGTTAATAAATTGGGTCGTCGTTTTCTGAGGATCATTTTGTAATTTTGAGCATGTTTCGTGCAGACGAGACATTGCTATGAACCACAGCATGAGGTACTTCTACAAAGGCGTTGTTACTCTGCAGGTACAGAACAAAACATCATCTGTACCAAGTGGCCGCTATAAAAAATGTCGTGTATTATTAACTATATTACAGGAGATAGTATTTTGCACTAACAGTTTCTTGATAAACTTCCCATGATAGGGAGCTGCAAAGAACCTGAACAAAAACTGTACAGATTCCAATTATCCCGAACAAGTGTGTCGCTAACCTATTGTAAAATTAATCACAAATTACTTAACGACTCAATTGTTGTAAGGTTTTATATATTTACATATATATTGTTCCCATGTTGTGGGTTACAGTGCTTCTTCCCTCAATATGCATTGCCGTATATCAAGACGCCATTTTTCATACTTAACTCAGCATATGATGTGTACCAAGTAAGCCTCTTTTACTGCTATTCATTTTTACTCGAGTCAAATCAGACTAACTAAATTATCGATATTTTTGTTGCACTCCAATAAAAAAAACGTCATTTCTCCGTATTGTATTTTACGCAGAGAAATCATATATTGGTGCCGCCTGCAGCCGATCCTCATGGCCATTGGTACCATTGCAAGCTTAATCCTGCCAACTGTAATACGGTCCAGTTAAATACTTTACAAGGTTTCTTTGTCTAACCCCATTTAACTGTATATTATATTATTCCTCCATAAGAACCTGGAAATCACTATATATGTTTTAACATTATAAATACATATTTGGTATCATTTATTTCCATTTTATGAAGTGAATATCTGTGTTAAAAGCACTAAAAACAATATGTAAGTATATATTTTCTCATCAGGATTCAGGGATTACATGATCGAGAAGTTGAGGCCTTTCCTCGAGAACTCGACAAGGGGAGGAATGTACATAAATTCTTGTTTCACTCACTGCCAAACTGAAACTCAAGACACTTGGTTTGCACTTAACTCCCCCAGAATAAACGACAAGGTTTGTTATTACTTATTACCTGACACATATCGTAATGATAAACGGCTCGTCTCGCCGGGATTTTGTGTAAATAACAAAAACTATAATGTGAATAAAGATCACTATTTTTCCAAAGTTGCTCTGCTTTAATCATGCATTCTTCAACATTTCCTACTTGAGCTTCATAAATTTTGATAAATTTTGAAATCACACACCCTTGCATTTTATCAAATTATACGACTTGTTGAAATACAAATAACACATATTAACTCGGGCAGACAATAGCGGAAGCAGTTGGGGATTGGTATTTTGGAAGAAAAATAAGCAAGGAGATCGACTGCGCGTACCCTTGCGATAATTCTTGCCATAATCAGATAGGCTGATGTGTTTTTCACTACCCGGTCGGTATACTTTCTATTTCCTACGGAACGTAAATCTACTGCAATCAAATTAATTTTCTCATTCTGGATTTTATATGTTTTGCAGGTCCCATAATATTATACATTTTAAAAGTGAGAAGCAGCAGCAGCAGCAGCACAATAGAAAGATACACACACATCCATACATATTCTTTTATAATATATTTCTGCATCACCTTGGAGCAGGCTTTTTAGCATACAAATTGTACACACACATACATACATATTCTTTACAGTTCGATCGAAACCCCGAGAATGTGTTCCAAGTTCTAGGCCTTTCGTAGGGATCATTTGAACAAAACTGTGCACAATCAGCATTGTCGTTGCAAATTTTATAACATAGCCATATATGTTGCTGTGTAATTTTTTAGTGCAAAAAGGTATTGTACTATTTTATTGCACAATCAGCATATGATGGTTTGGAACTCCTGCATATGGTGATGGACTTTTGTTTCTCCTCGAACAAGCTGTGCACACAACCTGCCTGCCTGCCATTGACTTGAAATTAGGTGTGTGTAGACATGGCCACTGGTCACCTGGCCCGTCGGCCCGGCATGGACCCAGCCCAGACAAACCCGTTGACCACGGGTTCGAGTCCGGCTCAAATTTCAACCAGGCCGATCTAGGGTCTTGTTTTTTCGACCCTGGACCGTCGGGCCGGGTCAGGCCCGGCACGGAAAACCACATGGTTTTCAAATTTTTCATTTTTTTCTTTTTTTTTATTGGACGGGCCAGACTCGGCACGAACATAGGCCGTGCCGGTTCAAGGTCCGTGAACCCAGCCCGTCGGCCGGCCGGGCCCGGGCCCAGCTCGTGTTTTAGCCATGTCTATATCTGTGTGTTCTTTTAATAAATATGTTTTACTTTATGTGATTGACTGTAGGTTCACGACGATAATTATAATTTTCTTTTTAAGAACGATAGATACAATAACAAATAAAAGGTCTTACAACCGAAAGGCTAACTAGCTTTCAAAACACAAACAATAACTAGGAGAACTACCACACTTGCGGCCTAGACAACAAACAAAAGCACAACACTATACTAAAGGCAAATAAATAATAATAATAATAATAATAATAATAATAATAATAATAATAATAATAATAATAATAAGTCCTTCCGTAGCTTGATGTTACTACCATCACCGAGCCGATGACAGAGACCTTTCTGTAGGAAACCCCCTCAAAAATATATTTTTTACTAATGCCACAAACCGGCTTGGCATTGAACCAGCCCGCATATATACCGTGGCCTGTTTCGGTTCACATAGAATGCAAACCGTATGAAACGAAAGCAGCCCGGAACTGGATTATACTTGTATTTTGCATTGGCTGTGTAACAGTTGCATATAAGTGGAACGACTCACAGGAACTTGTCTAGTACATACTTTACTCGTTAATGTGATGAAAAACAAGAAAAAGAATATTCTGATTCTGTTAGCTTAAAAGCTTTATAATTGAACCCTACACCCTCAAAAGTCTGCTGTCTGCATACGAATGTGTGACCTGACGGTGCAATACCTACGGGTTAGAACTGAACGCAAAGACACTAACATGGCCCAAATGGATGCAACTTTTGTTGCCTTCAGCAGTTACAGTACTTACACTCCGGCAATTATATTCATTCATCGAAATCAACCACAACACAAATTTAACCCTTACAATTTCATCGGCACCTGAAAAATAAAAATGATCACACTAGTAGCCTAATATCACGGAGTCCATAATGAAAAACATCACATTTTGCCAAGCAGGCAAGCCAGTTTCAACACAAAATACCCACAACACCACCCAAAAAAAAAACAAAAAAACAAAAACAAAACACTAACACTGGAATGATAAAAAGAACCACAGTAGGTGAAAGCAACATTCAAGCCTCCTCCTGAATATCATCCTCCTCATCCTCATACTCATATCCTTCCTCGTCAGCAGTCGCATCCTGGTACTGTTGATACTCAGACACCAAATCATTCATATTGCTCTCAGCCTCGGTAAACTCCATCTCATCCATACCTTCTCCAGTGTACCAGTGCAAGAAAGCCTTGCGCCTGAACATGGCTGTAAATTGCTCGCTCACCCTCCTAAACATCTCCTGAATGGAAGTCGAGTTCCCAATGAAGGTCGATGCCATCTTCAGCCCAGTCGGGGGAATATCACACACAGTCGACTTCACATTGTTCGGAATCCACTCAACAAAGTAGGACGAGTTCTTGTTCTGGACGTTGATCATCTGCTCATCCACCTCTTTGGTGCTCATCTTACCCCGGAACATAGCAGAGGCAGTCAGGTAGCGGCCGTGACGGGGGTCAGCAGCGCACATCATGTTCTTTGCATCCCACATCTGCTGGGTGAGCTCAGGAACGGTCAGGGCTCGGTACTGCTGAGAACCACGGGATGTGAGGGGTGCAAACCCAACCATGAAGAAGTGTAGGCGGGGGAAGGGGATGAGGTTGACTGCGAGCTTCCGGAGGTCGGAGTTGAGCTGGCCCGGGAAGCGGAGGCAGCAGGTGACACCACTCATGGTGGCAGAGATCAGGTGGTTTAGGTCCCCAACTGGAAAGGTATATAATTTTTTTTATTAAATTAGGATAACGAATTCACACGACATGCAAGCAGAGGATACTGTATATCTCTCAACAATGTGGCCGAAAATGAGAATGTCTAAATATTGCATAATTATTTGGTAAGGAATTCATGAGAAATCAGTGAAGGCCTGCCAGTTCAAAACACCTGGATTTATTTAGAAATCGACAAGCTAAGGAACACCTTCACTGCTAAAACTAAACTAACAAAGGCTACTTACATTTTACTGAAGCTTCTCACAAAGACGAGATTGAGACTGATAGACTAACTAGAAATGATAACTCATTGTTTTCAAGCAACTTACAGCTAGGAGTGGTGAGCTTAAGGGTCCGGAAGCAAATGTCGTAGAGAGCTTCATTGTCCAATACCATGCACTCATCGGCATTCTCAACAAGCTGGTGAACAGACAGGGTAGCATTGTAGGGCTCAACAACAGTGTCTGAAACCTTAGGGGACGGGAAGACGGAGAAGGTGAGCATCATGCGGTCCGGATACTCTTCCCTGATCTTAGAAATCAGAAGAGTTCCCATGCCAGATCCAGTCCCACCTCCCAAAGAGTGGCAGACTTGAAAACCTGGGACCAATAACACAGAAAATATTATTATAATACATAAAAATCCATGACGATCATCAGCATGTAAGATAGATTCTCAGACAGGAAACTGATTCACAAACATTTAAGCAACCTACAAAGTGAAAAATGCCGATAAAAATTCCAATTCCTCGTTCATTCTAGGTTCTAAACTTATTTCACCTTCATGAGGTCACCTTTTTTTCCAATTAAACAGTCAGATTACATTTCATTCAAAATCTGAGTGAAAATATAATGGTTTGAGTTCATATTTAAGTAATATGAAAGTTATGAAGCATTTGAACTGATTCTGTGGATGAACACACAATACACAATATCTAATACTATTTGAATGCATCCTTCAGATTATATAACTTCAGCCTACCAAAATAAGCAAGTCACAAGCAAATCTTCAGTTGAATTCCTCAGATGCAGTCAATTGGTTAGTTTTGGTAATAACTGTGAGACTGTAAACAGCAACTTGACACCCACAGACATAGACATATGCCTTAATCCATATGAAAGTTTTCGAATAACTACCATTTTTAACAGTAAATCTACAATGCAAGTAACAGTAAAGGTCAGTAGCTCTACTAATCTGCCATCTTTCCGAACCAACTAAACGCTCATCCGACTCCTTCAGCACATCCAGTATAATATATACCTAAAACGCAATAAAAAACGATAGATCTACTAATACCACACTTTTAAAAGCTAAAAACAGACATACGCGGTGGTTTCCTTTAACTTCAAAATACTTTGAGCAGCATTACAGATCCAACCTCCAAGAAAAACAGATCTCACCTTGCAGGCAATCGCAGTTCTCTGCCTCCTTCCTCACGACATCGAGGACCGAATCTATCAACTCCGCCCCTTCCGTATAGTGCCCCTTCGCCCAGTTGTTCCCGGCCCCGGACTGCCCGAAGACGAAGTTGTCCGGCCGGAAAATCTGCCCGTACGGCCCGGATCTGACACTGTCCATCGTCCCGGGCTCCAAATCCATGAGCACGGCGCGAGGAACAAACCTTCCGCAGCTCGCCTCATTGTAGTAAACGTTGACGCGCTCCAGCTGCAGGTCATTGTCGCCGCTGTACCGCCCGGTGGAGTCTATGCCGTGCTCCGCGCAGACGACCTCCCAGAACTTGGCGCCTATTTGGTTTCCGCATTGGCCGCCCTGAATATGCAGGATCTCACGCATTTTCGACTATGTTCCTTGTGTGCAGGCGCCGAGTGTTTGTGCAAGTGTGTGTGTATGTACGTTAGAGAGAGTAAGTGAAAGTGACAAATGAATTATTAGGGTTGGTGGTGATTTGAAAGGCTACAAGGTTTTAAATAATGGGTTTTCTCAATGTGAAATTTGAATTTTGAAATTTTCGGGAACAGACAGAGGTTGGAAGACGCGACCAGGGAGTGAGTAGACACACGCTCTCAGTCGAGTTGGAGGCACGTGCCACGTGGGTGTTAGGCTCAAAGCTCGTCAGGGATTCAGGTTAGCGTGTGACGGGCATGTGATGTGGTTTCCGAATGATACAATTGGTATTTGGTAGTTGTAAAATATCTTAGGGTGATTAGATATGAATTAAACTAGTAAAAAATTAGTTTTTTTTTTTTTTTTTAACTATAGTCAAGTTTGAACAAAAATAGTATGGTTAGTTGTTAGTGGGTATATTAAAATAATATTTAAATTAAAATAATTAAAGTTGATTTGATAAAAAAGTAAGAAAAAATGATTGGAAATGATGGTTAGTTAAAATTATGTGAGTTGATGAATAGTGAATTAAAGTTGACGTGATGTGTAATAATGATTGGTTGATATTATTTAATTATATTGATAATATTGAAGATAGTGGAGTTGAGTTAAAGTTGAATTAAATTTGAGTTTTGATTGAGATTTTTACTGTACAACTACAATATATAAACTGGGAAATTCTATTGGAAGACCTAACTTTTAGTATATGTATTAATATAATGCCTGAATTTTATATTTTTCAACTGAAGGCTTACATTTTAGATTATTTCCACTTTAAGGCTTACTTTTTAGTTAACTTTTCATTATATGGCCCAACTAACTTTACTTTTTCATATAAATATGTAAAACAATTATTATGTGAATAAAAAGTTTATTATTATTATTATTTATATTTTACATACTCATAATAAAAAATAATAAATATCTTTAGTAAAATTATATTAATAAAAATTGAAACCATATAAATTACAATGATAAAACATTGGAATTACAATGATGGGAAACTAAGATAGTAAAATTATATTAATAAAAAATAAAATTATATAAACATCTATTTTCAATGATGTAATTTTTCATTGTTAAAATTTTTGCATAAATATAATTTATATAATTTCGCATCATTGTAATTTATATAGTTTCATTTTTTTATTAATAAATTTTACTAAAGATATTTATTATTTTGTTTATTAAAAGTATGTAAAATATAAATTACAAAATAATAATATTAATAATGATAATAATAATATTTTTATTCACATAATAGTTGTTTTACATATTTATATGAAAAAGTAAAGTTAGTTGGGCCTTATAATGAAAAGTTAACTAAAAAGTAAAGTGAAATAATCTAAAGTGTAAGCCTTCTTTTGAAAAAGTATAAAATTCAGGCCTTAAATTAATACATATACTAAAAGTTAGGCCTTCCAATAGAATTTTCCCTATATAAACAATCACGCCCTTATTAACTTTATTTTAATTCTATTTTTCTATAAGAATGTAGAGGTCGTTTTGAAACGGGACTCCTATGTAGCTCGGTTTCATATCGGAGTCTTTTTAGCTCGAATTAGAGAAAGTATGTCGATTAAGTCGAGGTAGGTGCTTAACGACGGTAGGTCGACTTTATCGACCTAGGACCTAGATGCCTTGTGACCTCGACCAGGGTACAAATTAGCATGTCTGGCTTTAACAGGTGACTTCACGTCGACCTAATGAAATGGTAGGAGTGTTACCTCCATAAAGTAAGGATTATAAGGATAACAAGAATTTTGAATATATGAAACATAAGAAAAATATGTGTATATCCAGTTTCCTTTAAAGGGTAGAGCTAATGGAAAACAAGGTAACTACTCTGTTATAAAAGCAGGGGTATGGTTATTGTTACATTAGATTATGTTCACTATGTTGGATTTTAGATGTACGAACCCAGCGTACGCACAACGAAATTTTAAAATTTTCTTACCAACTACGAAGATCCGGCTATACCTATTCGATATGATCCTAGATCGCGTGAATGATTAACGAAAACTTACAGTTGTTCGTCTATGTCCTCAACTATGGTATACACAATCCAATTTTTCGGTGCACGGTCTAACGCCAATGAATCCATTCCGGTGAAGAAAGCTAGGAACTTTCGATCCAGAAAGCTAGAGAGTGTTTTTGTGTTTGCACGATGTATCTCTTTTCTCTTTTCTTCTCTCATCTAATGATTGTTGAAGACTACAATGAGATAATGACCTATTTATAATTAAGTCTAACCTAATTATTTGGGCCTTAAGAAATCCTATAGCCCAATAAGTAATTGAACATAATCTAACTAATAATTTAATTAAGTATAAATTCAATTTAACATAAATAAATATTTTCCACCAAATAGAACATTATCTCATTACTAATTAAGTACAAATCTAATTGAACTTAATTAAATATTTTCCATCAAATAGAAAATAATCTCATTACTCATAAATAAATATTCCAATATGATTGAATATTTAACGCTTTCGATTCACTCTTAGTCGAAAAACTGATTGTATATTGTGTGACCCTATAGGCCTTCATATACTGACAAATTTAATTTATGATCCTTACAAAACTCCTAAACTGCGTCGAAGGACGAACTCAAAATATGAAGTACGTTTACATGGACAAAGCAACAAACCTTTAGTGTAGAATTCAATAGTGATATGGTCCTTTCATTCGTGAACCACTCGATTAAGCTTAAGACTTGAATGTGTGTCTATCCAAACAACTTAATCATTTTATCTCATCTTACTGGTTGATTTTATCAATTATATTTGAACACCCTTTCAAATATGATCACGTGCAATGGTCAATGACTTTATCAACCCAGTATAGAGAAAACGAGTGTTCTCTCGAAACTATATTCTAGGAATGAATCCTATCTTGGCTCAACTACCAATTCCATGTATATCGTGATCAACTCAAAACAAGCCCGTGTCTACCCATAAGGGCGTAAGCGTTGGACTAGGTCTAAGTAAATCACTAAATAAATGAATTGCGTATTGACCTCAAGTCAAAGGACTATTACACTATTCTACACACCGATACTCCATAGACACATAAACAAATGGTTTATCGGTAGGGTATGTCAATACTCTCCAAAGTATCCACGTGTCCATCAGAATAACAATTATTCATAGTAGTGAGACATACTATATTCTCCAAAAATATAATGCAAACCACATGTCAATTGGTCACGTATCATTAATATCCCTTTCTGAATGATCTTCGATTGAGGCGATATGAGAGTTATAATTTATCAATTAACATCTCACTCTTTTAATGTCAGTATTAGCTCAAGGGAGCAATTAATTAATAAATTACAAATAATCAAATAATTATTTAATTAATTGCAATACCATAATTATAATCCAATATAATTATTAATGTGATCATGTATATATGTCCTTAAGGTGATTGTCTCTAGGACACATATAACAACAATCTCTCACTTGAACTAGAGACAATCACCAATGTATCCAATACCTATTTTTTCAAAATGACTAGTGTGCTCAATTATGCACAATAGTTTGATGAATGAACCATTCAAGTTATGTTCAGTTTGAACATGTTCTAACTTATTTCCCACCTATCACTTGTCTCTTGTTTGTCCCATTTTTGTTGCATTTTCCATGTTTCTTCTGCTTTTCTTTTTCCCCGTTTTAGGTCGTTTGTTTTTTCTTTAGTCTGTTTTATATTTTATTATGTGTTTTCCTTTATTTTTTATATTTCTTGTGTTTTTCGATCGTTTTTCAGTTTTTTGTCGGTGTTGGTGTGCAGGTTAGAAGACTCGGGAGGATTTGTTTTCAATGATAAATGGACTGGGTGAACATGGTTAAAGAGAATATTTCGTTGGTAATACACAGAAAAAAGAGGAATCGAATTTTGATACCAGACGAGCTCGAACCACTCCGAAACGAGAAGTCACGCAAGAAGTCCAAGCAGCAGCCCCAGGCTCTGCGCCCGCTCCGTGCCACGATGCCCGCCACGACACCAACAGAGAGTGTAGGTTGTGTGCGCCCCGCGCTGCAGCACCTGCTGCACCTACGCCCAGTGCTGCGCCGTGAGGACCCTTCACGTCATGGCAGATGGCTTCGCCGCACCGTGACACTCCGTACGTGCTGTAACAAGAGAGCCTGCCGCGCCCGTGACACTCTTCCATGCCCGCGAGCCCCTGCTACTATAAATATAAGATCGGAAACTCGATCGACGGATCTTGGAGACACACACAACACAGAAATCGTATCTCTCGCTCGAAACTCTCATTTTTTATTCTTCTTTCATCGTTTTCAATGTAGATCAAGGATTTGAGATCGGATTTCATTATTGCATTCAGATTCAAGCTTTCTTATTGAATTCAACTTGAGATTTATCGGATTACGTGATGACGTTGACAAGGATTGAAACGACGTGGATGGATAGAACTTTGACCAGGAAGGATAAACTTGAGATTTATCAATAGTAAGATTTTCTTTTAACTTAATCGTTAAATATTAGTTCTTGGGTTGAGATTGCTTGTGTTGGTTATTCGATTATGAGTAGCTAAATCCGCGAGAGCTTTGGTCCAAGCCTGTTTCAGCCCAATTTCGCGGCCCAAGTGTTGGCAGTTTATGGCTAGTGTTTAGACAGCTCGGCCCAATCCACCTTTTAAGCCAATTTTGTGTTCTGGAGCCCTTTTTTGTACCGATTCCTATTTTTAAAAGTTATTTTCAAATGAGAAAAAATTGAAATAATTATTTAAAGTCCCAAGACTTCAATTTTGGTCCTCCGAGTCATAATTTTCAAAAATGAGAGAGTTTCAAGTCCACGAAAAATCCGATTAAAATCCTTAAACCTAAATTTTTGATAAGTGTGGATTTTATATTAAATTTGAGAAGTGAGATAGATTATTGATAAATTATCTCGCTTAAATGTAGGTGTTTGAGGAGTCGAGC